TGACATTTAAATTTTAAATAGTAAATATTACTTACAATTAGAGTATAATTACTCTCGATCTTAGAATTCTATTAATATGTTAAAGATTCAGAGTACAAAACATTTATCACCTTTAGTGGTAAGTAAATTTGCAGTTTTGTTATTTCAAATAGAGTGAAAGTGGTTGAAAAAAAAAAATATCGTCGTTTTAATTCTACCGACCCTAGCTTGAATTAGTAGATGTTGACGTAATTACACTATCCTGAATACGAGCACCATCACTAGTATTATTGTACTAAAATAAATTAATAATATGAAAAAACTACAAAGAGAATCATCAATCACGGACGTCATTCAATCATTTTAAAGAGGCGATAATATCTTACAAATTAAAGCGGGGAAAAAACTATCCAAAGAAAAGCTTTTAAAAAATAAAAAAATGCAAGATGAATAATAATAATAATAATAACTTTTTCTGTAATGAAAAAAAATAATTTTCCAAATGTAACTGACCAAAAGATAATAAACTGTGTGTATGTTGGTGTGAAAAAAAAGAGAGATATACAACTTTAAAAAAGAGACATATTGTGATCGGGAAACTATTATGGGTGCAGTTACATATTTCATCAATTAGTGAAAACTTTTAACTAATTGATTGAGTATCGAACGCAAGCCCCAATAAAGTGGAACTTGGCTCAAAATCTATCAACCTATATTAGATGAAAAGTGGAATACTAATATATAGATTTGGAATCCAAACTAAAACTGATTCTCTTTTCATATTTGTATAGGTAGAGACATAAACTAACACCCAAAATTTTTTGCATAAAATCCTTGTAGAAAAAGTGGACCTTACAAGGAAGGAACAAGCAAAGAAGAGTGAGAACGATGTCTTTAATTATATCGTGTCACTTTATAGAGAATGGGAGGTGTCTCTTAAGTCAAGCAATAGTGACAAAAATTCATTCATAAATTGTCTACCCACTGGGCATTACACTACAAAAACCTTTGGTTGCTTTCTTTGTTTTCACCCAATACAAAATATGGCTATGTCCAACTTTTTTCTTTCGACAATTAAAAAAAAAACGGACTATTTCAAGCTTTAAACCAAAAAAAAAGACTATGCAAATAACATAACGATGGTTTTAATTTTGTGACTACTAAAGGCTTATAGACTAGGCATTCTTTTGACAATGTCGGGATATTTTAACGCGTTGATGTTAGATGTTTTAGCAACTTGATCTGATATTTAGATAAAACAAGGTGCAAGAAGTTACACATGATTTTTAAAAGGTATTGCCATTTTTCAAAAAGCTAAAATTTGTAAATACAAACTATGAATTCATCTGGAATATACATGTAAAAGAAAATTACAATGGAGATCGTTCTCTCGTTGTTGATGACAGATTCTTTCTAGAGAAAAAAATGATAAATACATAAGACAATAATTATGCGAAAGTTTATGCTGCCGATTATGCTACAGTGATGGTTTTGTTTTTCTAAACATTGTCATATTCCCTCGTACGTTATATATTGGCTTAGCCATATCTGAGCATGTCCAAGAAATTCAAACAAATTAATTTCTAAGATTACTACAACAAATTGTGTTCAGAATTGTTTTTTTTTTTCTGTAACCGTGGTTATTATGTTTTCTAATAAAATAATCTTTGTGTCATCAAGTGGAAGACGCATAATATCATCCTTTAAGCATAACTAACACAACCATGTCATATTCAAATTTAAAACTCAAACAATTTTCTTAAAGATTTACATTTTTGTAATATTTAGACAGTTTCAGGTATATAAAAATATGGGTGGAAAAACATAATCTACGTTGAAAAGATAAATATAAATATAAATATATGTAGGTCATCATCGCAGGACTCGAGGAGCGGCCTAACCCGAGTTACTTCCGATTTTTCAGAATTGACAGAGAGTCCTGGGAGAAATCCAGTTACTGATTCCCATTTCTATGGAAACTAAGTTATATCCGTGAGTATAAAGAGAAGTGAAACATGCAAATGAAGTTTGACAAAAAAAAAGAAGAAACATGCAATTGAAGAGAAGAACAAAAAAAAACTAAGGAAAGAAGGATAGAGCAAAAGATTTTGCAAAAACCTTGCAAAGAGCATGCAGTGTTTGAGTTCTTTTGCACCTTTTGCGACTACTTTCAGAGAGTTTTGATTCTTGTTTTTTTTTTTTAATAATTACTATTTATCAGTTAAAAAAAACTTTTAGTAATATCTTTGATCTCGTGCGTTTTCTCTATGCTCTTCACACGAACCAAATAGTGTTTCTCCAGAAAATTACCACTAGCTACAAATATGTTCATAGAGACCACAAATGAATTTTTTATCAAAGTAACTAGTGAATGCTGTTGATATATTTTTTTTCTCTGAAAAAGACAAGAATCTATACAACTACGAATTAATGCCAATTTAGGAAAGTACGACAAAAACCTTTATATTATTTGTGTAACTAAGTGATCTTATACGTGTTTAACAAAATCCATTTACAATTCCAATCATCTCTAATCACAAATTCACAATATGGTGCATATAAAATAAATATCTTTGAATATTTTTTCTATAAAAGGATACACACTCATATGTCAACTTACTCACTCCTTCTCACAAACGCAAACCCTCGTTCTCAAACAATGGGGTCTCGCACACAAAACCTCTCCTTTCTCATCCTCCTCCTCCTCGGCTTCCTCGCCGTCTCCTTCGCTTGCGACTGTAGCCCTCCTAAACCATCACCGAGCCCCCACAAACCGCCAAAGCATCCCACCAAACCGCCCAAGCCACCTGCTGTCAAACCACCAAAACCACCGGCAGTAAAACCGCCTAAACCACCCACCAAACCACCCACCGTCAAACCGCCACACCCTAAACCCCCCACCAAACCACCCACCGTCAAACCGCCACACCCTAAACCCCCCACCAAACCACCCACCGTCAAACCGCCACACCCTAAACCGCCCACCAAACCACCAACCGTCAAACCGCCACACCCTAAACCCCCTACCAAACCTCATCCCACCCCGAAACCTCCCACTGTTAAACCACCTCCACCAACCCCAAAACCACCCACGAAACCACCTACCGTTAAACCACCTCCGTCCACTCCAAAACCTCCCACTGTAAAACCACCTCCACCCACCCCAAAACCGCCCACGAAACCGCCCACTGTCAAACCACCTCCGTCAACCCCTAAACCACCTACCCACAAGCCTCCACCTGTCATAACCCCGCCAACACCATGCCCACCCCCAACGCCAACCCCAACCCCACCGGTTATAACTCCGCCAACACCAACGCCACCGGTTATAACACCACCAACACCAACCCCACCCGTAATAACACCTCCAACACCAACACCACCGATCATAACGCCACCAACACCAACTCCTCCCGTGGTGACACCACCAGCACCAACTCCTCCCGTGGTGACACCACCAACACCAACTCCTCCTGTGGTGACACCACCAACACCAACTCCGCCGATTGTGACACCGCCAACACCAACTCCGCCTAAACCGGAGACTTGTCCAATCGACACACTGAAGCTAGGCGCTTGTGTGGACGTTCTTGGAGGTTTGATTCACATCGGGCTTGGTAAAAGCCACGCTAAGGAAGAGTGTTGTCCGGTGTTAGGAGGTTTAGTTGATCTAGACGCAGCTGTTTGTCTATGTACCACCATCAAAGCCAAACTTCTGAACATTGACCTTATTATCCCTATTGCTCTTGAGCTTCTTCTCGACTGTGGAAAAACTCCACCACCTGGCTTCAAGTGTCCAGCTTGATCAATGTAGATTCTCTGGACGACTCCGAAGTTTCATTTCTTCAAGCATTTGTTAGTTTAATGATCTCTTTGGGTATAATGGGAGGTTAATTTGCGTGTGTGGGACCTTTAATCACTTGTTTCATTTGATACAATAAAAAGGGTTTGTTTGGGTTTTCATGTTGTACTTCTTAAGAAGGAAAAAAAAGTTTGTAAGACGGTATAACTTTTTTAAATATAAAACAAGTTTGTATCTCTGTACGCTTATTTTGTTTTTATGTACATTAGCACGTACATTGTGATTTTTATAGCCATGCACATTGCAGTAATGCACATGCGTCGCTCAGCGTAGCTACTGTCTACTGTCCAAGTACATGTGTACAAATATGGTTGAATACACGTATATCTCCCTACTAAGAATTTTTTTTACTTTTTTCTCCAAAAAATTGATGTAAAGATAAATTACACATCTCTCTCATGTCAATCACATTACAACATGTGATTTATGTATTAAAAATTAAAGAAAATTCTGGAGATTTATTTTTACTGAACGTCTTCTATATATATACTTCTATATACAATGACAGTAATATACCATACATAATAAATCTCAACATGATGTAAATATACAACATCTCTGCGTATTTTTATAACACATAAAATTTACAGATCGTACAGGTGATTTAACAAAACATGTAGTTTGTAAATAATACATTCATATTACAAGATATTAGCTACACGGTGCAACTGGGAAGCATTTTAAGGTGAAATGAACCAAGCATATACATAATTAAATATTCATATCTAATAATCTAATATAATTCTCATATATGAAGACAAAAGGTTAAAACTGTTGGTATTAAAAAAATGATATATAAAACTACTATTTTACAAGGGTTTTCTGCAAAAAAACCCTCAAGTGGATTTTTTTTTTAAGTTTACCTTCGATTCATTGAAAATGCACGTCAATCCATAATCTCTTGGTCAAACCGCTATATAATCCTCCTCTATATCGATGACGTGGCATCAGTGGATGGCGTCTGAAAATCAGACCGTTTTTTAAACACTGCATTTTGAGAAACTAAAAACGACATGAAGTTTGTAACTTTTGTCGTTTTGAAACACAAAAAATGATGTGGTGAAAAAAATCATTGAACAAAACAAAATCGAGTTGGGAAAAAATGAAAAACAAAAGGGATCGAGGGTTTTGACGGGTGAGGATGAGAGATTAATTGGTGATGGGTGTTTGAGATTAGATTGGTGAGGGTTGGTCGATTTACGTATTTGTGTTCGAAAGGATAGTTGAATTGTGTTATTTCCTGGGTTTGATTGTGTTATTGGATTGGAGAAGCCGATCGACGCAACTGGAATTGGAGAAGAATGTCGAGTGTTCCAAGGTAAGAAACTGAGCATTTGGAGTTTTAATTGGCATCTATGTATCCCGAGTAGTTGCCAAAATCGAATTTTTTTGTGAAACTTGTTTACTTTTCAAAATCGATTTGTTGACAAAATTGTATTCTTCTCAAAATTATAACTGTTCTTAAATTGTTTTGTTCTCAAAATCGATTGTTCCCTATCTCAGTTTAGATGTTTTTTTCATGAGTAATCGATTGGACTTTTCTTATGTAACTCAATTGTGATGGTTTCGCTTCTTCTGCAGCTTTGATCTGTTTCTTTATGTGGGCGGTTATTGGTCAGAGGAAGGTTTATATCATGGTGGAGAGTCACATATGGTGGGTACAATAGCTGAAGACGGTTTTAGCTTAAGTGCGGTATGTATGTATGTGAAAGAACTTTACGGGTATGATGACAACATGAGCAAGGTGTCATGGTTTCCACCAGAAACGCCTCACAAGAAAGAAGACATAGAAGGTGATGAGATGTTAAGAAGAAAAGTGCTTCATTATGCTTTGGGTTCAGGAGCGATGACTTTGTATGTGGTTAGGGAAGACGATCCGTATATTGGGAGGCATTTAGGTGTTAATGTTTCACTCTTGTCAGATGACATTGCTGTATAGTAGTAGTTCAGATTCAGAAGCAGAGGCAGGTTCAGAGGCAGAGGCTGATGACCGGCAAGAAAAAGAAGAACAAGAACAAGATCAGAATGTGTTTAATGAAAGTAGTAGCGACAGTGATTTGGCTAATGTTGTAGCACAAGTTGATGAGAGCAAATATCAAAAGTTTAGGTTGGGGCAAGAGTACAAGTCAATTGAGTCTTTCAAGAGTGCTATAACTCGATATGCAGTGAGAAAGAGAAGAGACCTTAAGTATGAGAAATCATATAGTAAGAGGGTAGTGGTTATTTGCTCAGGCAAGAAGTGTCCATGGAGGATTTCTGCGTCTATCAACAGCAGCAGCATTAGAGTAGTTGTTAGGGCTTTGAATGATGTGCATGAGTGTACTTGGCAAGGCAGGGTCTCACTTCTCACTAATGCACGGATTGCTGACATTTACATAGAAGAATTCCGAATCAATCCTCATATCTCAGCAAAGCAACTGCAGAAAAAGCTCATGAAACGCAACATTAATGTTGCTGAAACAATATGTGAAAGGACACAGCTAAGGTGTTTGCAAACTTTTGATGATGAGCAAGCAAAGTCATTTGCAAGAATCCATGATTATGTTGCTGAGTTGAAGAAGACTAATCCTGGATCAACAGAAGAATGCGAGGTAAGAGAATCGAAGTTCCATAGATTCTACGTTTGCTTTCATGGTCTCAAAGAGGGTTGGAAGTCATCATGTAGAAAAATTATTTATATTGATGGGACATTCCTTAAATGGAGGATGACTGGGCAGTTATTGGTTGCTTGTGGAAGAGACCTTAATGATCAGATGTTTCCTATAGCATGGGGCATTGTAGATGTTGAGAATAAGCCGAATAAGGAGTGGTTTTTTGAACATTTGGCTGACGACTTGGGCCTGGAAACTGGGAATGGTTTAACTCTTGCTAGCGACCAGTGTAAAGGGTTGATTGGTGCAGTTAAAGATGTGCTTCCATATGCTGAACATAGGTTATGCGCAAGACATGTCCATGCAAATTGGAAAAAGAAATATTTGGGAGCAGATTTTGAAGACTTGTTTTGGGGAGCTGCAGATTCTTACTATCCGGCAGCCTTTAAGTGGAAGATGATGAACTAAAGCACTTTTGTAAAACTGCTTATGATGACAAAAAAAACAAAAATAAAATATGTCCTAGACTCTGAGTTTGATCTTATATTGGGCTTGATTTTATGATTTGGGCTTTTACTATATCCATTAAGTACATGTTTGAAGCAGAAAAAGACCCAATTAAAAAAGAAGTTCTTCGACTTTTTGTTTTTCTGTCTTGTAGAACAAGTTCACATCTCACACGAGTCGCCTTTTATCGAGCAAAATTCTCACCAAAATCAAAGAAGAGCCGAGAAGAGAGTGAAAGCAATTCTTGTCAGGTAAAGTTTTATACTCATTCCGTTTCTCACAAATCCAGTCCATTTTTTTCGTTTCGTAACCTGAGCATATCCTTCGCTTTCCTCGTATGAATTTGAATTGCTGGATCTGTAATTAGCGCAGTAATGGCTATGAAATCTTCAGATTTTTTTAATTTAGGATTAGATAAACCCTAGCTAGATGCGATTCTGGGTGATGTAGTTGTCTTATATATGCATCATCAAGTGATTGTCTACTAAATTTCTACTAGCTAAGCTTCTTCGATATTTCTCTTAAGACCCAATAGTGATTACACAATCCATCCTGTGATTTCATATCTAAGGTTTGTATCGATCTCAAAGTAACAGCAATTGATAAACCCTAAAATTGTTCTCGTTCTTTTGTAGAAGCTTCACATAGATTAGCCTTGCTTAAATCTGAACTAATCGGGCGAGTGAATGTCGAAAAACCTAATTTTTAAGGGAGACTGAAATTGAATTGAGCTTAATTTTCCAGGTCAATTGCTTCTTTGTTTTTCTTATAAATCTGAGTATGAAACTTGGGAGATTCAATTGCTTCACCAAAGTTTTGAATGTAATTCTCTTTATTGTGAAATTGTCAAACTTGGGAGAGATTCAATTGCTCCACTAAACTTTTGAATGCAGTCTCTTTACTGTCAAATCGTTTTGAGAAATTCGATAGTTATATCTTCTGGAAGCTGTTGAGTTTATTGCTAATCTATCTAGTTAACTAGTAGCTTAGCCTTGTAAGAATAGGATTTGATCTTGAATCTATAAGAAATTGCATAAACTAAGACCAATACGTTTGTTTTTGTGTTTGTTTCTGGTGTAGTGGTTAAACCATGTCTCGGAGATATGATAGCCGTACCACAATCTTCTCGCCTGAAGGTCGTCTCTACCAAGTCGAGTACGCGATGGAAGCCATCGGAAACGCCGGTTCCGCGATCGGAATCTTATCCAAAGACGGTGTAGTCTTGATCGGCGAGAAGAAAGTCACCTCGAAGCTCCTCCAAACCTCAACCTCCACCGAGAAAATGTACAAGATCGATGACCACGTCGCATGTGCCGTGGCTGGTATAATGTCCGACGCCAACATACTCATCAACACGGCTCGAGTCCAAGCTCAACGATACACTTTCATGTACCAAGAGCCCATGCCGGTCGAGCAGCTGGTTCAGTCTCTCTGCGACACTAAACAAGGGTACACGCAGTTCGGTGGTCTTCGTCCCTTTGGCGTCTCTTTTCTCTTTGCAGGATGGGACAAGAACTATGGTTTCCAGCTATATATGAGTGACCCGAGTGGGAACTATGGTGGCTGGAAAGCTGCAGCCATCGGAGCGAACAACCAGGCGGCTCAGTCTATTCTGAAACAAGACTACAAGGACGATGCGACCAGGGATGAGGCGGTAGAGCTCGCCTTGAAGGTTCTGAGCAAGACGATGGACAGCACGAGCTTGACATCAGAGAAGCTTGAGCTTGCTGAGGTGTTTCTGACTCCTTCAGGGGATGTTAAGTACCATGTTCACTCTCCTGACTCGCTCACCAAGCTGTTGCTTAAGCACGGTGTGACTCAACCCGCTGCTGAATCATCCTGAGCTCATAAACTATGGCAGAGACTTGTCTCTGCTTTGTGTGATGTGTCTCCTTTCCTTTTGTCTTGTAGTTTCTCTGTATTACAAGCTTTCCTTCTGGTTTTGAACTTTGAAGTTAATAACTATGGCGAAATTACACAATGTTATGAATTTATCTGAGAGTTGAAATGTTATTTCGTCACTAGAATATTGAAATGTGTAATTTTGGAAGTGTGCTCCTTCAAATAGACATGCTTACGCATAAAAGATCAGAAAAAAATATATCATATTATTAATTGGCAAGTAAGTTGGGCTGTGGTTGAGACTTCAATTATCAGAGTTATTATGGTTGATTATTATTTACCCCTCATATGAAAAGATTTCAATTATTCTTAATGAAAATTAATACTCTTAATAAAAAATATGAAAATTATAAAAATCATCAAATAATCTCTACAATATATCAATATATGAATTATAATTACTTATGGCTCGTACTAGTTTCCGTCTTCTCATAAACCATTAATACGAAACTCACTTAAATTACTTCATTATCTATGAAGCCAGGTTTAAGTTACTCCTTCATCTATAAAATTAGGTTTAAAATTATCATACTAATACTTTTCTTTCTCATACTTTTAAATTTTGTTTATGTTTTGTAGGTGTAAATTTTTTGCCATACCACCTACATAAAGAGGGATTGATTTCGTCAAAGCTTTTGACCTGGATGGAGTGTAATAAAGTTCACCCCGAAGCAAGCATGTTAACTTATTCAGAGTTTCCTTCAAAGTGGATATGGGATTCCAAAAGACATCGTTGGAGACCTAAGTCTCATGGTTCACCAAGTTGTGGTTTAATGTATTATCCAGAAACATTAGAAGAGATCACTAGCTGCTCAGATAACAACCATTACAGCCGTGCTTTCGTCTCTGAGGTTTGACATACTGCCGTTGTGGAATATTTCTAGGATGACGTTGTGTTATTGTTTGAGAACACCATGTTGTGTTCATACTTACACCCTATTAGTTTTAATAATATGATGTTCAAGCTCTCATTCTTTACTTTCAATACTATTAGTTATCATTGATGTTCAGCCTACTATCGTCTCAAACTTTCATTAATCATTGATGTCCTATGTTAATAATAACATGATTGTGCAGGGTTTATAATTAACTGTTATAACATCATGCCCACGTACAATGCACAGATAACATAATAATGTATATATTGTACACCAATGTTATATACATTGTATTGTCCGGAATCTCGCGAGATTCAATTTAAAATTAGCGTTATACGTGGGCATGCCTCAAGTTAATAATATGATATGTTATAATTATGATGTTTATACGCATAGTTAATATATGCATTGCAATACAATGTAGGATTTTATTATTTTCCATATCTTCTGTGTGGGGCTATCTTTTTACAATAAAAGATATTAATTCATCATCATACACCGTGTTCAAATTTTTTTAACTCAAGTGACAAGGATGAATGTAAAATTTTTGGCTATGATTATGTGAATTTTTTTTAATATTAGAATGTTAATTTTCCCTATATTTAACAAAAAGAAAAAAAACAATTTCCATATATTCGTTACCTAGTAATTTTAATAGTTAGTTTGAATTTCATTAACTCGTTACTTCAATACAAAGCATTCTTCTTCTTGTAACGGCAATGCCTCGGTTTCAACTGTTAATTGACGTTTTGATTTCGCCCAAAAAAATGCTGTTTTGGTTTATTTGAAGTAAACGCAATTTGAAGAATCTTGGAACCACAAAAGAGTAACGTTTAAGGAAGAAACAGAATCATAATTATGGATTCTTGTAGTTTCTCATAACATTTTGTTTTCACTCAATTTCACAAGAAAGCTTATTCAAGTTTGTATCAAACAAGAACCTAAACATCTCCATTAAAAAGATCACTTCTTTACTTTTTCCTTACACACGACTTTACGACAGTAAACAGAAAAAAAAAAAGATAAATACTTTGAGAAAATAAGAAACAGATTGTAATTACAATCCGACTCCTTATGCTCTCTCTATATATCACTCTTATGTACAAATATTATCGTAAGCTACAGCTTTCAGTTTCCAAGCAACACTAATCAAGAACAGAGCTTAGGGAGTGACCTGTTGCTTCCTCTGCTCGTGTTCTTGGATCTCTTCTTGATAACTTCCATCTGATTCTGCATTTTCAAACACGCTCTCTCCAATTCCATTACCCTCCATTGAATCCCTTCAATATGTTCCTTCAACTTCTCATTATCTCCTGAAATCTCAACCTTCTCCACTCTGAGTATCAGCTGCTTCTGCTGCTGCTGTTGTTGTTCATCTGGTGTCTCAATCCCCTGAAACTTCCTGTTACGCGAAATGTGTGCTCTTGATTCGATTGAAAGCTTCTCGTAACTCAATGTTCTTATCAAGCTGAGTTTTTCACCGTTTGTTAATCCTGCGTGAGACTGAAACGAGCCAAAGCAAATGTTATCTGTGAGAGTAAAGATCGAAACTGTCTTTGAGTTTTGAGATGATGTGTTCGTAGGAACGTACCTCGAGATACATATCGATAGCTCTGTAGATATCTTCGTGAGACTCTCGAGCTGAATCCGGAATGAGTGTGAGGAGAGACAGAAACTTTGAAGGTTTCAAACAAGGATCAGGTGCTACTTCAGCTATGTACTGATCAATCAAGCTTGAAACTTTCTTCAACTGTGATCCTCTTTTAGCTTCATCGAGGAAAGCTTTCGTGAATCTAAGCACGAGATTCACATAGTACAAGTGACTCGATTTCAATGGAGACGGAACAAGAAGATTGTCAAGTGTTGCTTGATCCAACTGGTGACCAATCATAAGCTCTAGCTTGTTCATACCGCTTTTGCTTATGTTCAATCCAAGAGCGAGCCTCAAAACCCCGAACAGGCTCTTGTAAGGGACACATCTTCGGTCCAACACGTAAAGCGTATCAATGGTGGTTTCAAGAATCTTTCTTCTCTCACTAGAAGAAGCAGAGCAAAACTTGACCTTCTGGTAATAGAACAAGAACCTAGCTATGGTGAGATGATCGAACTTCCGCGACACCATCAGCTTCAAGAACGTTTCGACCAAACCGGGACTTAGAACAAGAACCTCATCGAACCACCATGTTACCCGAGCAGAGCAGTTCTTGAAACTCTCTGTGCTTTTACTGTCACAAGAAAACCGAAACAAGCTGCTTTCCGGTGAACAAGCAGAAGCAGCACTCGAGGGACTCGCTTCAACGGCTAAGCACAGCTTCTCCACGAGCGCATCCATCAATCTCGCGGCTAAAGAATCAGCTTCGGACGATGTTTCAAGCTCTTGACACTGCTTCAAACCGAGAAGAACCTCTGGCCAAGACCAATAACGAATCTCCTCCATACACTTCTCTGTTTGTTCCAAGACTTTAGTTACTTCCATGAACTTAGCAGCACAATGCAAGAGCACTACATTCGAAGGCATCACAGTGAATTGACCATTGTTGTAGCAGAATCTCGACACAAGCTCGAAACTTTCAGCTCCACCGGGGAAATCATTAAAGATCACCTTGAGATTACTACTAGAACAAGTAGATTTCCCAAGGAGCTTCCTGAATGTTCCTGAAAACTTGCATATGATTCGCTGAAATCAAAAAACACAAAACTAAAAAGTCATATGATTGCAGAGTAAAGTAACAGATTTGAGTTAAATCTTGAAAGACCCACAAGAAAAAGGTTCAAACTTTTAATGCCATTTTACTGTTTGTGTGAAGGAATAAAGGTAAAAGTGTGATGATGAAGAACAATTATTACAAGACAGGAAGGTATTAATGTGTGTATCAATCATGTAAGTAAATGTCAATCTCATAAGTCACAAACAAGTGATAACAAAAGGGAAGTGAATAGTATCCAAGCAAATTGCAAACGAGAGCAACTTCTTAACCTCTCTTTCTTAAAGATTTTATCTTCCTCTTAATGGGATTCTTTTTGTTTTGTCTATTTTCTTAAAAATTTGTGAGAAAGTCAGAGGAAAGGTAAGAACAAAATATGCAATAAATGGTGATGGAGACATCTGTTTCATTGCTCTTCAAGATTAATGAGAGACTCAGACACAATCAGTTACAGATTCCGAATAAGAGATTGGTATAACAGGAACAAAAAAGATAAACTTGTGTGCCCTCATTTTAAGGTAACTCGGTGATAGAACATTAAATGCTGAATGTAGCAGAGTCACACACTATACGTGAGCCGTAATATCATCAAAACACACACACAGAAAAATGAATTTAATATAGAATATAAACAAATTTTTACAGTTTTTGATGCAGAAATTAGAACTTTTTTCTTTAAATCAACTATCAACATAAGAAAATAAGGAAATTGGAGAGACTCAGATGAGAAAAATGGAATTAACGTTGAGAAATAGTTAAAAGTTTTGATTTTTAGATTAATTTAGCTGTGTAGAGTATGTTACAGAGAGGAAGAAGAGAAAGAGTAAAAAGACTTATTACCTTATTGAGAAAGATAGTTTCTTCACCGTTGATGTCTACTTCAAGATCAGAGCTAGCTTCCATAGCCAAAAACAGAGAAAGAAGCTAAACAACACCCACCAATAGATCAAGAGAACCCACCTCGAGAGAACTAGATTCTCTCTCTCTCTCTCTCTGTCTCTTAATTTTCCTCAAAAGGAAAAGAGAAAAGAAATGTGGTAAAAAGAAGGGAGTAAGAGAGAGAGATGGAAGTGGATTTATGCTAAGAAGAGGAAGAAGACAAAGAGCAAAGGAGCAAGAAAGCTTTGTTTGTTTTCTGATTGTCAGATTTATAAGTCTTTCTTGCTTTTGATGTCTGTCGAGTCAATTGGAGAAGCACCCACAAATAAGTGGTGAGTTTTTATTTTGTTCATGGAAAACAAAAAAATAAATTGGAAAATGGAAAATTTAGAGTGAAAAAAGAGAGCAAGCATCAAAGGCGTGCCCAAATCAAACGTCACTCTACTTACTGGTATATTGAGACAATGAGATATTATATGCAAAGACACAAATAAGAAGTGGGAGAAGAGAGAGAGAGAGAGAGAGGGAGAGAGAGAGAGAGAGAGACCTATTCTGACATTCTTGCTAAAAACAATTAAGGAAAACAAATATTTTTGGTTTATTCATTCTGTAATATAAAGTTTTTTTTATATCATATAAGATAGTATATTGTTACTTTGTTGGTAAGGATTATGACAACGCATTTGCCTTTTGATCAGCTGATCAATCAGTAATTAATCATTTTATTTTTATGATTAGTATATAAGCCAGAATGGTGAAGCTTTCTAGGCCATGTTCCTCTTTTATCATCATGCTTTGATTATTTCTCTAATTAATTTATTATTATTAACCATATAACAATCTATAGTACACTTGTACACTGTGAACAGAACAATAAATACATAACCAAAATAAGTAGTACTCCATTTAGGACAATTGCATCTCATTAAACCCATTTTAAAAGGATTTTGAGACCATAAAAACATGTTTAGTATGCAGTGAACAATTAAAAATATGCATCTTAGCATTACTAAAATGCTTGGTTCGGTTGATTTGATCTAAAGCTTGTGACCATTTAAAGCCTTAAGATAGTGTTGATATTTATGCCAAGTCTGCGGTAAAACACCAAAATACAAAGATATAAATGACATTCTTTTTAATCATATAGTATATCTTAATAAATTAGACTGTATCAAAGTTTTATATGAGAAAAAAAAAATGATGGAAGTTACAGAAATCGAGACGGAATTTATCAACGATATCTAACTTTTTTTGTTATGCAACTATGTATATATATATTTCGAGAAACAAATCATATAATTATTACGTTAGATGTCATAACAAAATAGTTGAATTACTATTTCAGAAAATAATAAGATAATAGTTTAATAATAGACTGGGGACCACCACAACAGAATATAAAGTGTGATGTGTATATTTATTTAAACGAAAAGAAAATAAACAAAACAAAAATGTGACTGTGTGTGTGAGACTGTGAGGTGTTCAACTGCTCATGCACCGAAGCTCTTAACGTGGTGGACTAAAAAGCCACGGAACGGGGATCACGTGACCTTCCATCTTTGCTTTTACGGTTTTATCCCTCGTATAAAATATTGCGGTCTAGCCCATTTGAGGGCCCAATAGTATGGTCTGTTTAGTAAGAAATTAAGAGGTTGATTATGAATCTCTCTGATAAACCACAAGCCTAAATCAAATAAATTTTAATTTAATTGAGATAGTTTTTTTTTTTCTAACTGTCGAACCAAACATCAAGGCATAATTTATTTTGAGTTTAGAAAAAACCAATAATTTTTTTTGGTATGTTAGAGAAGAGAAAAAAGCCCATCAAAAAACCGTCATTCACCACCAACGGAAGTATAGAACAACCAACGCATCTAACAATGACTGACAAAATTTGCTGTCAAGTTAACTGGTGAATCCTTGCATTATCAACCAATATTATTTGTATATTATTAATGGTCCATAGTTATTAATTGGATTTTTTTTCTTTCTAGGAAATTGGATCATGGTGGTGATGGAGACATGTTATTTCATCTCCTACCTTTTCTTGCTTGAAGTTGTTTTGGAGGGATTCCTGATTTTGTTACTTTATACTTTTAAGATTACTGAAACGTAGGGAGGACTATTGCTAAAATAATTGCATAACAGTTTTTAACATACTTTCTAACCAACTTATATATGTTAATGCATATCTAATATTGCTAAAATCATTGCATAACAGTTTTTAACATACTTTCTGACCAACTTAGATATGTTAATGCATATCTAATATTATATAACACTAGTACTAAAAAGCATTCCACATTATGACTTGTGTGTATTGGTCTATCATGTATATATTGCATGATTCTATTCCGCTGCTAATTGGAGAAATTGGATTAAACTTGAGCAAATGCATTCGGTGAACATAAATTCCAAAGCATTCCAAAGTTTTTGGGAAATATTTTCTCTTTTTAAACTTGAGCAAATGCATTCGCTGAACAGAAATTACAAATGTGAATTGTCAACACGGAAAGTTTTGAACTACTATTTATTATCGTCCGTCAGCTGATGATATTGCTAAATTGAGTGGGCCTCTTAGCCCAAGGAAAAATATTGTTTTACACGTATTATATTATCTTACATGTGAATCGAATCAATTTTCTTAATAAGGTCTATCCGTATTTACAAAATGGCTCTTCGTTTTCTATGTGAAGTCGTTTTGACCATTTTGAGACTGCTTCAACTTCCCTCACACACTATTTCCAAAGACATCTCGTTTCTTAAAACATTGATTTCCCATAATTAAGTCCTCTTTCTCTTTATATATTAAACTCTGGTCGCATCACATCACATCACATAGAAATTAGGGTTTTAGTTGGGTATAATGGGTTCAAGCGCAGCAGATTCTAAAATTGTGAAGAACTGGAGAGAGCAACCTCCTTCTTCTTATTCCCTCAAGTTCGACAAACTCTCGCATCTTAATCTCGACAAATACGAATCCCGTTGGTTCTTGTCCGGTGGATACAACTGGTGCGTGATCTTGTTAGAAACATGCTATATCTTTCACTATTCTAAAAAAATATAATATAGTGTGCTATTTCTCAACTTTCGATTTAAGAAACTCATATGGTCGTTTCTCGTTTTTTAACTTATTTTTTTCGAACAAAAAAATACAGGAGATTGGTTATATACCCAAAAGGAAACGAAAGTGATAATGGAAGCAAATTCATTTCAATGTATGTTGAATTTGACAACACAAGCCTCACGTCTACAACAACAGCTGAGGTGTTTGCATATCTCACATTCTTCATCTATAACAAAAAAGAAAACAGATACTTTACTCTGCAAGGTTAGTACGCACACAGTTTACACAGTTACTCTCTCTCTCTCTCTCTCTCTGTATAAATTTATATATGTATATGTATACATTAATCAGTACTACTATTTATACACATTTAGATGTGGACGTAAAGCGGTTCAATTCTTTAAGAACGGTGTGGGGATCATCACAAGTGCTTTTGCCTGAAACATTCAATGACCTTGAAAATGGATATATTTTTGAGGGAGAACAGTGTGAGTTTGGTGTTGATGTGACGGTTGCTTCCCCTTTTACCAAGTGGGAAGTCGTCTCTTTTGATGAGGAACCCTCTAATCCGAAATTCTCACTACTTGTCGAGAATTTCTCCTTGTTGAAAGAGAATCCTTACGTATCAAACAAATTTTCAGTGGGAGGAAGAAAATGGTGAGGCTATATATTCATTGTTTTTATACATATGTGCGTCTATGTTTCCTAACAAGCGAATATGTAACTATGTGATCTCTATAGGGTCTTAGAGTTGTATCCCAAGGGAAGATATAGAGAAGATGGCAAATGTTTGTCAATTTTTCTGAGTCTGGCTGATAGTGAAACCACATTGGAGGGTGAGAAGATTTACGTGTGTGCAGATATCCGGGTATTAGACCCACGTGGATCCAATCACGACACAAAATCATGTACGCTAATATTAATTATGTTTTAATTCTTAACTTGTGATTTGAAATCGAATGTCCTTTTCATGACTAGTAATTTTAAGTCTTAAGTGATATTTCTTGTTGATAAAAAAAGAAAGAAAGTAATATTTCCTTATTTTGCGCGCAGTTAACAGATGGTACAAGCTGAAACCAGGCCAAGGGTGGGGTTGGGAGGAATTTGTGTCTATAGCCAAACTTCGGGAGGCTTACTTGGACGAAGACACTTTGAGTGTGGAGGTTGAATTTAAAGTTGTTTCTACAACCAAATGTTCTCCCACCACCTAAGCTCTATTTCTTGATGCTCTGATTAAAAGATTTTTTATCATAAAATATATTTGCTCTATCGGCTTGTTAGAATCTTGATTTTAGGTGGTTTATATAATCATACAAACGTATTTTTCAGCAAATGTGGATTTGAAAGTCTGTTTGTCAACGTATTATTAAAAGGAATATAGATTTGCTTCTTTTTGTGTGTGTGTGCATGCAACATCGTATTGTTTTGCTAATACGAGAGAAAAAGGATAAATATAAGAAATATGAGAATTTAGAACACAAGGCATTTTGAATTATTTGTTCCTCTCATTCTAGATGCTGTGTTGATTGAATTTCTCTATATTTTTTTGTGTGATTTAAAACGACATCATATTATTTGGATTGTTTCTTGTGATAATGCCCACATATTTTAAAACAATTTTTTTCCAAAGTTTTTTTTTTTGGGAAATATATTATCTTTTTAAACTTGAGAAAATGCATTTAGAGAACAGAAATTACAAAAGTGAAAAGTTTTGAAATATTGATGAGAAACTCCATAATCCCAATTTTTGTTGAGTGTCGAGAATTTCTCCTTGTTGAAAGAGAATCCTTACGTATCAAACAACTTTTCTCCTTGTTGAAAGAGAATCCTTACGTATCAAACAACTTTTCAGTGGGGAGGAAGAGAATGGTGAGGCTATAATTTCATTGTTACGGGCGCGTCTATATATGTTTGCTAGCTAACAAATGAATATGTAATAATCAATGTCATCTCTAGGGTTTGATGACATTGGTTTGGTTTTGCAGGTTTGTTACCGTGGTTAAGAAGAAACAATAAAATCCATAATGGTTATAAACCTTCTGTTTCGTTAAACATGTTTTTCAAAAATTGCATCGTTTTCTGCATATTCTTGTGTATTATACTGTATAGTCTGCAATAATATGTGTAGTTTTGGATTTTGGTAGTTGATTAAAAAACGTTGAAATTAATATTTATTCAGTTTTTGAACAATTTCTTGTTACTACCATATCACAAATAAAAAGTGAACATTTCAAATTCATTTACGAGAAAAGTTGTGGCACTTGACAGTCACGCTTTGTAGAAAGAACACGTGTAAAGCAGAGCTACGCCTACAAAACAACCTTTTCAGCAACATCTTTACGGTGGCCCAAATCCGTAAATCAGAATTTGTTTCACTACCCAACAAAAATTCCTGTCTCCGGGATCGTTATCATCTGATCGAATGATAGATCCAACGGTGTAGAATCAATCAGTACAACCCCTGAAACCGCCTGGTGAGAGAGAGAGAGACAAACAGTCGACAATAACCTCAGAGGTTCGTATAACGGAATCGTCATCGTCCCTCGTGTCGCCGCCTTGTCTCTTCACCCAATCAGTCAAAGCCACGTGTTAATTCCCCCTTTTATTCCCTTTTCCTTGTATTTTCTTAATTTCTCTAACTAACCAATCACTCGAAGCCATGAAGCCACGTGGCTATCTCTCTTTCTTTTTCTCTGTTTATTTTCCTCCTTTCTCTCCCACTCGCTTTCATTCTCACTCTCTCTGTCTTTCTCTGTGAAAATGGAGTCAGGGTACGAGTTCGACTCGCTCTCCGAGTTACCACCGCTTCCACAACAGTACGATCCCATGGAGTACTCAACATACTATCCTTACGCCGTTACTCCTCTCGATTCTCTACCTCCGTTTCCTCCTTCCGATTTCGAACCCTACGGCGGCGTCTCCTTCTCCGACCACGACCGATGCCTTCTCCAGCTCCAACAAAACGTCGCGGACTCGTTCTTCCTCGAGTCGACTCTGTCTCTCCTAACTCGCAACAACCACACCGAGTCAACTCGGTTGGAGAAGCTCTTCCCTGACGACGCAGCCGCACCGTTCCTTCGCTTGCCGGATCTCAAATCCTTCGAGAAAACAACAGCCGAAGACTCCGAGGAGGATACGAAACCGCTGTTTCTCTCTCTCGCTCCTCCTCTTCTCGCGGCAAGACACGGCGAAAAACGCCGTCGTCGCGGCTCGGTAGTCAAACGCACCCTCACAATCTCGCCGTCTTCCTCTTCCAACTCCAGATCCTCGGCGCCGTCGTCATTGTTGTCGTGTCCGTCGATATACGGTGCGGGCAGGAGCATGAAGATCTCTGACAGAATCAGGTCGCTGGAGAAACTAATGCCGTGGGAGAAGAAGATGAGTTTGGCTGACATTCTCGAGGAGACGCACAAGTACATCACGTTTCTCCACTCTCAGATCGCTTCCTTCCGTTGGATGCCTCTCGAATCCGTCTACCGCTCCGCCGCCTCCGCCGCCGGAAACGTAGAAGAAACCAGTCCGCTCAGATCTCTGACGAGGCAACAGATTCTTCAGGTGATTGCGAATTCTCCAGGAGCACGAACGGAGCTTTACACGCGCGGGGTCTGTCTCTTCTCGTATGAACAACTTCTTTCTGTCAAGATGATGTCTGAATCGGCGAGAAACCTCTAGAAAACAATCACATCCTAATTAAGTTTCTCGTTCTTACTCTGTTTTTCTTCTTCTTCTTCGTCTTTTTTTAGATAAATGATCAACAGAAGCTACATAGCGTTTGTTAATGGCTAGTGAAATCAATTTGCAATATTGTACAAAAGTTTCGGATTGATTGATGATTATCTAAATGATCTCGACTGTCATTGTTTTGTTTTGCTCGTTTTGATCATCTTCCATAATTTTTACAATAGCAACAGAAACAAATCCACAAATATGATTCAAAGTTGAAAAACAAAACACGATTTCAAACAAACCAGAAAATCATCACTTTAATCGTATTGCGGATTTCATTAGTTGTCCAGGTGACGTTGATTCAACCGGTTGTGATTTTGAACCAAAATAAAAACAAAGAACCATACTAAACCGAACCATGAACAAAGATTAACGTAATAGACGCGGTCTTTTGATTTTGTTTTTGACAAACCAAAGCTAAGTAGAGTTTAAAATAAATAAATGAAGTATCTTCAAAACAATTAAGATAAAAGCTAGAATCTGAATTTATAAGATAAAATAACTGATAATGAGAAGTAATATGGTGTTGTAGAGATCTTCATGGAGAGTATTTGGTGGTAGAGACAACTTCAAATTCGATTTCTAATTTCAAAGATCCCTCTTTGTCCAAGTAAGCCTTCTCAAGTTTAGCTAAAGCCACAAAAGCAAACCAACCCCAACCTTGGAAGGAGTCCTCGCGCCAGTGGTTAACTGCAATAAAAACAGAATGTAATCTCTAATGAATATATATATATATATATATATATTTATGTCTAATCGATATCTCTCATGCATCAAGTAGTTGTAATCTTATAATTAATTAGTTAAAAAGAATGTTTATTGTTACGACGACTTACACTTCAATGAAACGTGACTGGATCCAAATGGATCGAGAATTCGCAAATCAGCACGAAGTACATCATCTCACCTGCCTTCACTGTTTCACCATCAGCTAAATGCAGAAAGAGGGATAACGATTTACTATAAGTAGTAGAGTAGCCCTTGGGATACAACTTTAGTACCCTGCAAAAAAAACATTATATATACATTGTTAACACATAGCTAATCTTATTATAAACAACATAAGTGTCAATATTTCAAAACTAGGGTTTATACTCACCAATTCCTTCCTCCAATGAAGAACTTGTTTGATACGTAGCAATGATCTTTCAGCTTAGAGAATTTGTTGACCGTCCAAGAGAACTTGTGATTAATAAGTTTCTGATCAAAGGAGACAACTTCCCAATTGGTATGTGGAACCATTACATCAACACCAAACTCGCATTGATCTCCATCAAAGAGATATCCGTTTTTAGGATCATTGAATGTATCAAGCGGAAGCACTTGCGAAGATCCCCACACCGGTCTTAATGCATTGAACTGCTTCGGTTCAACATCTGGATGTTACATATATAATTCATAATTGAGTAAACACACACAAACAAACATATATAAGCTAATCGGATACAGAGAGGTATATGAACCTTGAATAGTAAAGTATTTATTTTCCATCTTGTTGTAGACGAAGAAGGTGAGATATGCCAAAACTAGGGACGTGGTCACGCTTTTGCTATCTAATTCCACATACATTGATATAAATCCGGTCCCGTTGTCTTTCTCGTTCCCTTTTGGATATATAACCAATCTCCTGATATTACACTAAAAACTTAGTTTACTTTCTTAGAAGAAAAGTTGTGCATATATATATCCAATAATAAGGCTATATTACCACTTGTGTTTGCCTGAAGAGAATGTACGGGATTTGAATCCGTCAGTACCAGTGAAGAGAGTCTTGAGTTGAGAGAGGCTTTGGATCTTCATAGAATATGTAGAAGGAGGACGACCTCCAAACTTGCTCGTAATTGTAGAATCTGATACGACGCATGACTTCTCTGTTTTCAACATTCTATTCGCTGTCTATTAGCGAGGAGACGATTATAACAAGAAAGGCAAAGATGTGATCAATCGTTTCTCATTAATAATATATTAAGCGTAGTAGAGATGAAACCAACTACGAAAGGAGTTTGCGATTTTTGTATACTCACGTTTTTGTTTGTTTCTTTGTGGGATGGCTAGGGTTTGGCGAGTGGTGGGGGATGTGTGATACACTTCCTTGATTTTGTAGTTGGGCTCATGGGCCAAACAAACAATAATTTTATAGAGAAAGATTAGTATAATACGCACATAATATAGGTATTAGTACCTAACAGTGGCTTACGTGTCATTATTTCAAAATTTTAAATTTTTTAAAATTTTAATAATGATTTAAAAACTAAAATAATTTATTTTTGCAACTAACCATAATATTTCTTGCTACCAAACAAAAACTTCTCTAATTATTTACTTTTTAATTGCATCTAATATTTTAAAAATCTGCAATTAATATTTAGGTTGTTTGTATATAATTTAAACAATTTGATTTAAATAAATATGACAGAAATTTAAGTGATTTTTTTTAAAGTATCTAACATGTATTAAACAGGAAGCATTGGCTTAGATGTCATTATCTCATTAGTCTAATATTTTTTATTGATTTGTTTTTATGTGCTATTCTTACTATACTTAAATTAAATTGAATTTAAATCGAATTAATCATAAATTATTGGATAATTTTATTAGTTTAATAAATTAAATTAGTTACATGTTTTATTAATAAAAATAAAAATTATTTCCATGTTTTAGATCTATGAGTATTTATTGTTTTGCAACAACTTTGATTCACATATTATACAAACGGAAAAATATATAATTTTTTGAAACCTTGGACGAAAGTAAATATAGATCCCGCTTTGTATAAGTTTAAATTAAAAACAAAAATAATTAAATTTTCTCAAATTTTATTTTTAGATACCCAAATTTTTTTCAAAACTTAATAAATTATAAAATATTTCTTAAATATTTTTAGAAACATTACCCTACACGAGCGTGCGGGTAGTAACCTAGTTAGTAATAGAAAAACCTTGATGAGAAAACCTACATCCTAGCACATGGTAGACTTCTAGATCCTCATGATTTTAGTCACAAAGCTGCTAAACGTATGTCATAAAACAATGTTTACATCTTTATTTCTTGTTTTGCTCTTCATTTAATGATAAACTATTTATATATGATGAATCAGTTGGAGTTGTTCTTTTTCATCTGTTGATGACCAATTTCATTATTAGTCTACGTATAGATAGCTAATATGCATCCTTTCTTCTATATTCCCATTTTCTTGCAGTCAAATGTTGGTACAAAAAAGGAAGCACAAGCTATGGTTGTTGGAGTACATTTGAGTCTTTAGATAAACTTTGGGAGGCTTACTTGGACAAAGAGGCATCTTTAAAAGTAGAGATCGAATTTGAAGTTGTCTCTACCACCAAAATACTCTTCTAGCATCTAAAGCTCTGCTTTACAAAAATCTATTATTATCTACTCTACATCCGGAAAATAGTTATTTAATTTCTCACCTCTTTGAAATTTACATATTTATTCTATTATCATATGCGCATGCACAAAATATTAAATCCTCAAGTTTACTTTGATTTCGTAAATTTAATGTGAAATATCTGCTATTTATTATGTTATTCTACTAATAGTCTAATACTACTCGATCTGTTCAATTTATGCGTTTATTAGTTAACTTTTTAGGGTTGAATATGAATTGATTAAAAATCAACATAGTGTTTTTTTTTTTTGGGAATTTTATGTAAAATAAATAGTGTGTTTCTTTATACAAAACAACTTCTACAGAAAAGATATAAAAGTCAAGGCCAAAATGCACATGCGATACACGTAAAAATAATATTGGAATTAGCCGTGATGGTGTGTTCTGAAGATGGTTCTGTCCTTTTTTTGGGTTACATAGAGAAATCTATTGTTAATGAAAAGATAATACAATTATTATAGCCCAGCCAACAAATTGTTCCAAGTTTGTTTTGTGGGTTTTGGCCCAATACATCAAGGAAACTGATTGAGCCGATAGAACCAACAGAGAAAAGAGGAAGCGTTATAGTCTGAAGATATTCTTCTAGTGCTAGGGTTTACTTGTTAAGAGGTCTCGATTTTGCCTTTTTTTCTTCTGATTATCTGTCTCTCTCACCGCTTGATCAGGGTTGTCGACTTTCTCGCAAATCGTTTCTTTCCCTTCGCTTTATCTTGTTCTCTTCTTTTTTATTGATTTGTAATCCTCAAAATCACAACTCTTTTATTTTCTTTTGTCTATGTTGTTGAACACTCGTAATGGTTCCACTTTATCTCTCAATCTATAAATATTAACAATTAATTAATCTCTGTCTTTGGTTGGTTTGATCGTTAAGGATGGTCTTTACAGTTTCGGATGAAGATGCATCATCGTTGTGTTCCTTCGCATCAGATTCTACAGTTTCGCGAAACTACTGGACAGAACGTCCTCCTTCTTCCTATTCCCTCAAAATCCAGAATCTCTCACAACTCATCGGTGAAAATTACCAATCTCGTCGTTTCTTAGCAAATGACTACATGTGGTACTTTTTTTTTATATTCCAATATTACATATGTTTTAGTAATATAATAATTAAGTTACAAACCTTCCCTTTGATAAATTCACTGGTATTGATTGACACGGCTCAATGTGATCCTGTTGATTAAACCTTTGTTATCAGAGAAGCTTGTCTTGTCTTTTCTTCTGAATTAAAAACCTTATATAATCTGGTTTTTTTGCAAAACCAGGAGATTAATTATACATCCGAAAGGGAATGAAAAGGACAATGGAAGTGGATTCATTTCGATGTACGTTGAAATAGACGGCGTAATTGAGGTGTCTGCATATCTCACCTTCTTTGTCTATAACAAGAAAGCAAACAAATACTTTTGTATTGAAGGTATGTAAGTACATTTTCCACTACATACATATGTTTCACATGAATATTAGTCAACATTATATATCTATATATCACTTTTCTTGTTCACTACATCTACATTAACTTGCCAAATACAGATATATAATGCCATAAGTATTTGTTACATTTAAATAGTAATCAACAATACACACAATCTCCTACAGATACAGAGGTGAGGCGATTTAATGCATTTAAGAAGGTGTGGGGATGTTCTCAAATGCTTCCGGTTGAGATATTCAATGATCCTAAAAATGGATATATCTTTGAGGGAGATCAATGCGAGTTTGGTGTTGATGTGATTCTTGATTCACCCCTTACCAACTGGGAAGTCGTCTCTTTTAACAAGAAACTCAATGTTCCCAAATTCTCCTGGAGTGTCAAGCATTTCACGATGCTGAGAGACAATCTCTACACAACGAATAGATTTTCAGTGGGAGGAAAGACATGGTGAGTTTCTAAATATCTCTATGTGTGTATATGTGGGCGTGGGGATGTGTATGAATGTTATATATAAAATGTGCATAATTTTGTTCTCTCTAGGGTACTAAAGCTGTATCCCAAGTGCTTCTCTACATCAGATAACAAATGGCTATCCATTTTTCTTCATCTAGCTGCTGACAATGAAAGATTTATAGCGGATGAGAGGATTTACACGCTAGGTCATCTCCGAGTTCTTGATCCTTGTGGATCCGATCACATCACAGAGAAATGTATGTGAACCTTTTGGTATTTTTTTTTTAATATATTGTGTAACTTTCTTAAGTTAACACCAATTTATCAGATAAAACTATCTCTAAAGACTGAGATATTCATTTTGCTCCCTTGATTGTAATAATATGCAAGCTTAAATATACTCTACGTTTTTTTTCATTGCAGTTATTTGTTGGCACGATGCATCAAACTCAGGCTGTGGTAACGACAAAATTGTGTCAATGACTAAGCTTAGGGAGGCATATTTGGACGAGGAAGACACTTTGAGCTTAGAGATTGAATTCGATGTTGTTTCTACAACTAATTACTCTCCTGACGTCTAAGCTCTCCCACTTTTTGTTTTTACTCTCTTTTCGTTAGGTTTTCGTTATGCATTGACATTTCTTTTCTTCATATGAATTTATTTTGGAAATTAAAAATTTCAGTTGGGGAATACTGTTCAGAATCACGTAGAGCAAGTGCTGATCTGGCTATAAATTCATTCCAAGTTGGGATTACTGATATTGAATTTCTCTACCGAAGTAAGCTACGCTTGACACGGATTTTCAAAGCTATATTGGTCAAATGATTAGAAACCGAGCTGCCTCCTATTGCACTACTAAGTTGATCCTCCCTTTGCGATATGGTTTGAAAAGTTGATCTTCTCGGGTAATGCCACATCATATCTCCATTGACTCTTTTTTGGAAAACTCACATCATGCTTCCGTTAGTTCTTCTTCACCGTAAGGTAAGTCGTCTTCCTCTTTTGTTGGGATTAGGTCTTGGAACTTTCTTGGTCTGATGCTTATGCCCCACATTATACTTTATTGGCAAGGTAAGTCGTTTTCTTTGTTTGTTAGGATTAGGTCTAGGAACTTTCTTGCTATTACGAGACTGGTTAATTACTATTATGCTTAATAATAGCCAGTCTTATATTCTCCCTAACGCTTAATCGTAGCCAGTCTTAAATAGTTATTGTTAAAGAAAGGGACATATTTTCAAATTAAGAAAAACAAAAAGCTTCCTATATATCTCTAGTGTTACATTAGAGTTGTGGTTCAGAAAGGTCTTTTTGGGTACAATAATGTGTCTTTCAACAACTGTGCAAAGCCCTAAATAATTCTTTCTTATCTCAAAAGACAAGAGAGTTCGTGGAGACTGGAGAGCAAAGATCAATCCAAAGATTGATTGCTTTCAGCACGACGTAAACAGACATGATTTGATCAAACGACTGATCTCAAAACGAGACCACTTCAAACTTTTTGACGAACAACTTCATCTCTCACTCAAGGGCGAGAAATTCTGCACCACTCAAACCGAGAAAATCACGATTCGGTCGACAGAAACATGCGGTTCCTAGAGACAACTGTCCATGTATCTCAACTCTCAATGTAGCAATTCTATCATGTTAGGCTTTGAATGGTTGCTCAGTATTGGACCAAGATTTGTCACCAAATCCAGCCCGTTAATTGGCCCATCAAAATCACTCTCGAAGGATGTTTACGTTTCAAACATAAGACCAAACAAAAGAATTGGAGAAAGGAAGGATAAGAAGAGAACAGTTCAAAAGGATGATGCCAGATCCAAAGTTTGTGCGGGTAACGGATTGCGGGATACACGCTGAAGCTAACGAAGGGAAAAAAGTATTTAAAGAGGGAGGGTTTTGTGGAAAACCCAACTAGAAAAATATATACAAACAAAAGAAATATTCGTTCTACTAGCTCTTGTATCAAACAACATCGATCTCTTGTAAACGATCTCTCGATTCAATCAATAAAAAGTCCATTTATCTATTCTTGATCTTAAGTTCAGTTGCTCAAATAGAGATTCTTACCCCATCATTTTCGTAATATCATCTAAACACTTCACAAATCTTTGAGTATGGATATCTGCATCCACATTTTGGCGCCGTCTGTGGGGAAAGATAAAAGATATCTCTAACACCGTAACCAGATCTAAGGTTTGTTAGAACGATAATGGATCCTAGGAATACGGACTCCACCAGATCCGCCATATCGGCGAGCAACGAAGGGATACTCCCTTCGGATGTGCACACCCATTCGAGGAACTATCCGGAACGAACCAGAGATCGCTAGTCCGATGACCCTAGTTGCCATAACCGGATCCGAGTAATGCGTCCCGGCCACGAACAGATCGCGACTGGTGGCACAGATCACGAAGAGCGGATTATCGGCGAAGAACGAACGCTCAGACCGAACGATCTGAACAGGCATCACAACCCGCACACTCTTAACCCCAGTACGCAAGGTCTGAACGCCGACGCAAGAAACGCTCGTGCCGAGCACATAACAACCGTCCCAGCAAACCAAACTGTAACCGGCGGTTCAAGGAACACACCCTTAGGGCAAGAACCAACCCCCACCGGAAGAACTAACCCGTTCGTTTGGGTCAGAACAAACGAAAGACAATCCACGATCTCAGAACAGACCCGATCTCCCAACCTGGAGACACCCGGCACTAACCCAAACGACGCCTCTGAGATCCGGAGGATGCTCTTCCAGATGACTCAAAACTTCGAAGCCCGTCTGAACAAGCAGGCTCATGCCATTAATGAGTATCGGGCCGAAGTCGCGAGATCCGTAGCTCGAGACAATTTCCCAGGACCCCGCCACAGACATGCAACAGATCCGAAGAGGAGCCCACCACCTCGAGTGCATCTGGACTTCTCCCAGGCATTTGCAACCCCAGAAAACGGGAGGCAGCAGATCGCACCTCCTACATTACAACAAGAAATTAGCAACCCCAACGATCCGAACCCCAGCAGGGCAGCAGTCCGCAAAAACCAGGAAACACTTCCTCCGCCTCCACCTCATCTCGGATCACAGTTCACCAACTCATCCGGAAGGCCTTCGGACCCCCGCTCTGGAACAACAGACCTCGAAGCACCCAGAACCCGCTCTTGGGAAACGCATACGAGGCAGGATGATCATCCCGCCATCCAGCTGAGCGCTAGCCTACAGAACCGAGCCACCCAGCAACATCCTGCCGACAGCCTCGACCAAGTCAACCCTTGAAGTGTAACATACCTAGAATCTGTCCAAAGGCATATCGAAATGCAAACGCGGAGCTCCATAGAATGAGGGCATTTATGCACATGGCAAGGAGCTCCGCACCAGAAATCGTCCTCACTAACGAGGAAACAAAGCGAACGCCCTTCGTCGCTAGGATAGCAAACGCCAACCTTTGCGATACCGGGAGGATTAAATTCCCGGAGTACACAGGACAAACAGACCTAAAGGCGCACATCAGGCTCTTCCACCACGCAGCAGCCCGAGCTCGACTCGATAATAATGAAAAAGACTCCGGCTATTGCAGACTGTTCGCCGAAACACTCGTAGGACCGATACAGGAATGGTTTGCAAGCTTGGAAAGCGGCTCCATCAACAACTTTACCCAGTTCATAGCTGTCTTCCTCAAACAGTACTCGGTGTTTATTGAAACTGAAACCACCGAGGCCGACCTGCACAGGCTAAAGCAGGGCGAAAACGAACCATTACGAAGTTTCTTGACAAAGTTCAAAGAAATAAAATATAAAATATCTGACCTCAACGAAGGGGTAGCGCTGGAAGCCCTGAAGGACGGACTCTGGTACGCGTCCGGCCTCAAGCTAGAACTCTCGATCAGATGCATCACCTCGCTGAACGACGCATTGCACCTAGCTATGCTTTTCGCTAAGGCAGAAGAAACGAGAGCCTTTAAACAGAAGCAACACGAAGCCAGACTCTTAGCTCAAAGCCTCAGCTCGCAAAATAGAAACCCCAAAAGGGAACCCGTGGCAGAAACCAGCAGTCGTTCGCAATCGATAGTCCAAACCCGGACAAATGATCCAAATACGATGGCAACAAATTTTGCAAACACCATATGCGCAAAGGGCATTCCACCGAAGAATGTCGCGCGGCAGCCCGCCTACTAGCCGCAGCAAAGAACCCATGAAATAACGAGGACAACCCCGAGCAGGAGGCCTCAGAAGAGGAAAACCCCTCTAACATCGCTCCAAAACCCAAAAGACGCCTAAGAACAAGGCTGCCAAAAACACACGAGACAAGATGAAGAAGGGTGAACAATTGCCCCCTCCGACAGCCAAACAAAGAATAGAAACGGTTTTTAGTTCTAACATCTGTGGAGACCCGATGAAGTCGATCACCACACCCCCTCCCGCCCAAAAAAAGACTATATGCCAACGCCTCCAAAGCCTACGGCTTTGCCGGGAGGGTGTAGGGGCTACCGCCTCGAAGCAGATAAACTTCATTTCTAGAGGCTCCCTATTCTGTAGTAACTCCATTAACTCAAACAAAGCTTTTCATCGAAAGGCCGAATCCAAGTCGCGATTACAAACTAATCTAGATGGTTCGGACCACTGCATAAGCTTCTGCGAAAGCGAGACCCTGGACCTAGATAAGCCACACGACGACGCGCTCATCATCCACCTCGTTGTAGCCGGCTTCGAGCTCTCAAGAATAATGATAGACACCGGGAGCTCGGTCGACATCCTTTTCTACGAAGCATTCAAAAAAATGGGTTTCCTAGACTCAGCCTGAACAACACGGTCACACTCCTTATCGGATTCGCTAGACACACAACCATTTCGCTCGGCACAATCTGACTCCAGGTAAAAGCCGAATCCGTACTAAAAAACGTCGAATTCATAGTTGTAGATCACCAAGCGCCGTATAACACTAACCTAGGAAAGTAGTACCTTCTACTTACCACCAGTGCATGAAGTTCCCATCTCCAAAAGGAACCTAAACAGTCTTTGGAAATCAGAAGAACGCCAGGATGTGTTACCTTAATTGCAACAAACAAACCGCGAACTCCCCAGTATAGCAATTACAGAAGGAGCGCGAGCTCGCCGAACAGCAGGCAAAGAAAAGCTAGGACCCCACCACGCGTGGACCTCCTAGGAACTTCATAACGCCGATATGCATCGACGACTCTCACCAAGAGAGGTGCGTCAACATAGGAACCGAGCTCGCAAGCTCGATCAAAAGCGAGCTCATCACCTTCCTAAAAGAGAATGTTCACACATTCGCATGGTCGACAGAAGACATGCCGGGGATCAATATAAAGGTAACCTTTCACGAGCTAAATGTTGATCCCACATTCAAACCCGTAAAACAAAAACGACGCAAGCTGGAGCCCGAAAGAGCTAAGGCAGTAAACGACAAAGTCGACCGACTCTTGAAAGTCGGATCGATCAGGGAAGTCAAGTACCCCAATTGGCTCGCCAACCCAGTTGTAGTCAAAAAGAAAAACGGGAAGTGGAGAGTCTGTGTAGACTTCACCGACCTCAACAAGGCATGCCCAAAAGACAGTTTCCCACTCCCGCACACCGACCGGCTCGTGGAGGCCACCGCAGGTCATGAGCTATTGTCCTTCATAGACGCATTCTCGGGATATAACAAGATCTTTATGAATCCAGAAGATCAGGAGAAA